TTTTTTTTTTTTTTTTTTTTTTTTTTTTTTTTTTTTTTTCCCGCTAGGTCGGATAACCCTTGTCCGGTCTGAGACCGTCCGACGTCCAACCAGAAGTCCAGTCGGACAACCCAGGGGTCCCGGACGTCCGGTAAAACAACCTAGAAAAAAAACAGTTCTAGTGAATACTGATATTTAGGACTATACGTCGTTCTCAACAGTATAAATTCCTATAAGACAATTTTAAAGTTGACAATAGAAACGTTCTAAAAAAATATATGATATGTAAAATAGTACCACAAACAACTCTTGCCTCTGGTACATCTTTAAAGTCAAATTTAAGTTAAAAATAAAAATAAAAAAATAATCTTAAAAAAGAAAGAGAGGTTACCCTAAAAAGAGAGAAATGTTTAGGGGAACGTAGCCACAAACAAGATAACATGTTAGTCTGCTCACAAAATCCTCGAACACGTTCACCCTGCTACAGCACTTATCGGACTATACATATAATCTTTTGAGACAATAAAAAAATACATATTTATATTCCTTAATAATCAGTGCTTCACTTGTTAGTGATTTTTTAGAGAAAAACGTGTTTTTTTCCTCTCCACTTCCAGTGGTTCTAAAAACTTGCCTTTTTATTGAAGTTATTTTACTTCACGTAGAACCGTGGTCCTACAGGAGGCCTAAATACTGTACTTTTAAAGTTTTCAATAAATTTCGTTCAAACCCAATATTTTTTTTTGTTCGTTTTTCACGAATCCTATGTTATCCATACAACTTACCCAACTGACCCTTGCTTACGCCCATCACCCATCAAGGCCCACTCATCTCGCCACATCAGCCTCGCACAGGAAGTCGCGAGGTTACAGAGGATAGTTCGTCATAGCGCGATTTGGGAAAATTGGAGAATTGATGTTCACAAGGGGGTTGGTCCCCGGTAAGGTTATGTCCCTGAAGCTTGGTAACGCTCTCGATGGTTCCTCCCCGGGTAGAGTGTGAGGACCCCGGCCTCAAGATTATCTATTTGGAATATAAGCCATGGGTAAAAAAAAACAAAAAATGGCAAAATTTTTGATATGCGACTGAAAGTTTCTTTTACATGCCAAGATCCTTTCGACCATTGATGGGCATAATCTATGGTTAGAAATGAAGAATTCTGGCAAGTGGGACTTGGCCCGGTGCACACTGGCAATTTGAAGCAGGTACCAGTAGTGGGTATAATCTATGGTCAGAAATGCAAAATTCCGGCAAGTGGGACTTTGCCGCGGTGCACATTGGAAATTTGGAGAAGGTACCAGTAGTGGCATATTGAACATAACTCAGGCCCAAACGGCATAAGGGGTTTTCTACAAACTTCAATCATTGTCAGAGGGCCACACACGGTAAGTTGACCATCAGAGGGCCCGCCACTAAGTTGACCATCAGAGGGCCCGCCACTAATAAAATGAACTTTCAAGGTAAGGTGAGCATCAGAGGCTCACGCCACAAATAAATTGAAATTTCAGGGGCATATCAAAAACTTCCTCCCCCCCGAAACAAAAGAAGAAGTGGCTGGACCGGTCACACTGCCTCATCATTTCGCAACAGACAAGTTAACGGCCACCTGGATTTTGAGTCCTCTTCGACTCCTCTAGTCACACTGGCATTATATTCAGTAAATTTGTGGTAACTTCAGCGAGGCCCCAAAATTCCGAAAAAAAAAATAGTTTTGAAACTTCCGTAAAAACAAATATGTTATCCATGATTAAAATGCAACCAACTTTTGGCTGAGGGTCACTTCAGAATTCATTATAAAGTCAGAAATAAAAAAATTAAAATAAAAAATCAAGCCGAGATATACCCCTTGGAAGTCAAAACCCCATTCAACCATCTTCTAAACCCATGTATTTCCTTCGAACTGTGCTTGTTTTTCCAACGCTGGTTTTGATTGATTTGTTGGCTGCAGTCGGGAATGGGATTGGTCGGGAGTGTTTTTCCCAGTCCTGTATGGCTGCGGCTTATATGTAAGGGAAGCCGGACCCATTTTCTGGCAGAAATATTAATAATCTTCGTTCTCTAAAGAAAAAACACAATGTATACTACCCCTGCAAGCCACTCTGCCCATCGAACATTCAAACATAACATCCAGGTGTTCTATTCGGAGGGGCGTTATATTTTGAAAAAAAGTGAGTAAGGGCATAGACATACACGAGTAGCAAAATTGCATAATCGACAATTTTGCAACTGAGATTTTGAGGTTTAGTTGTGTTGCGTAGTCACACAAGGCTGCCTTTGTGAATGAGACATCGCCCCGACTTTCTAAAAATTGGTCCATTTGGTATCAGGGTGGTCACACAACTGATAATAGATGGTGGAATATTTTTTATTGGGCTTTCAACTTTTCATGTTTTTTTTTTTTTTTTTTTTGCCCTTTCCTATAACGTTTGTGCCCACACGGTCATGACTTTGAAGGGTTCGTCAGGTAGCGGCCACTTTGGTACCACTCTGATCGGCCAAGTACTCGAATCCACGTTACCATGTGCTGAGAGGCAGAAAAAGAGTTGGCAGCACGGTATCAGGAAACCCAGGGAGGGGTCGCCTACTGTTCGTTAAAGCCAAGGGTAACAGCGCCTCTCACTTGTTGCACCCGCTTCAAAGGTCCTCAACGACCAACAGGGAGCCGTGGTTTGTGCTGCATGTCCACTTCCCTACCTAATGGTGAATTTTACACCTCAACAAGGGAACAAAATGAGTTTAAATAAAATGTCACAGTTTTGAGACAGAATGAAAACCTTCGTTTAAATAAAATGTCACAGTTTTGAGACAGAATGAAAACCTTTGTTTAAATAAAATGTCACAGTTTCAGACAAATCGGGAATCAAGGTTATAGTCACCTCACGAGTGTCTTTACACAAATAGATAAATGTTTGCAGACAGTAATAATAAGACACTCAACGATTATCCCCATATACCAGAAAACACGAGAGCCCAATAGGCTGCCATTGACAGAGGCGCATCCTTAGCCTTGACCGGTTCACCGACAAATCAGTGCTTCCTACTAATTGTTCCAATCGACCAACTTTCGGCGTGCGGAAAACAATGAGCAGTTCTTGTTCCAGTTGAAAGAATAAGTTGTTGCGGATTCACTGATCCTTAAAACTTTGGATGATCGTCTCAATTGTATTGATCTTCATCTCGCAAATCAAGACAATCTGCGATTGTATCGTTACGTCTCAAGAAATTGTGTCAGACAACTTTTGACTCATTTATTTTGGTTATCAACCCATGCTACCTTCAAAACTTCCCCTCTCTCTCTTGTCTTGCTCTCCTTAGTCTAATGTATCCTGTATCGCGGTCTTGCTCCAAAATGTTCCAATCTACCAACTTTCTGTGTGTGGAAAACAATGAGCAGTTCTTGTTCTAGTTGAAAGAGAAGGTTGTTGCGGATTCACTGATCGTTAAAACTCTGGATGATCGTCTCAATTGTACTCATCTTCGTCTCGCAAACCAGGACGATCTGAGACTGTATCGTTACTTCTCAAGAAATTGTGTCAGACAACTTTTGACTCATTTATTTTGGTTATCAACCCATGCTACCTTTCAGACTTCCTCTCTCTCTCTTGTCTTGCTCTCCTTAGTCTGATATATCCTGTATAGGGGTCTTGCTCTAAAATGGTCTCTTGTCGAGGAGGTAGAAGGGGAAAAAAAAAAAAAAAAAAAAAAACTCGATAAATATATAAAGAGAGATAATATTAATCAAAAGCGAACAATGGTGAGTCATCCAACGGAATTGGTTCAAAGATGAGTAACTATGTCATTCAATAAGTTCGAATCATCACCGTATTGCCGAGTCACTCCGAAGGCTCGACTTAAACCTATCGCCAGGTTTGCCTTTTGGATGCAACTGGCTCAACAACAAGCCAATCAGTAGGCTCTTTTCTCGATATGTGTCCTGCCCTGTCAGTCCCTCGAGGCTCACTGTTTCATCAAACCAATCTGCGATCTGATCTCTCTTTAGTTTCACCGACCCAATCATAGGCTCAAGGACGATCCATCCAACGGTCTTGATTCCGAGTGAGCTAAGAGACACTCCACAATCTCGATTCCGAGTGAGCAAGCAGGCTCTATTCTCAGGAAGCCAAGAAGTCAATTCACAGACTCGAGCTAATTCACAGTCTCGCTTACATATAAAAAAAAAGAGAAGAGGAGGAGGAGAATGAAGGTCATTATGGCATGCTGCATTAGGAGGATGAGGAGGAGGGAGAGGAGGAGGAGGAGGAGGAGGAGGAGGAGGAGGAGGAAGAAGGAGAAGAGGAGGAGGAGGAGGGCGAAGGTCATTATGGTAGAGGAGGAGGAGGAGGAGAAGAAGAAGAAGAAGAAGAAGAAGAAGAAGAAGAAGAAGAAGAAGAAGAAGAAGAAGAAGACAATATGATTAGGGGTGGCGGGAGGACGACGAGGAGGAGGAGCCAGGTCGAAGGAGGTGGTGAAAGAAAGAAAAACAAGATGAAGAAGAAGAAGAAGAAGAAGAAGAAGAAGAAGAAGAAGAAGAAGAAGAAGAAGAAGAAGAAGAGGAAGAAGAAGAATGACACGGGGGGGAGAAGGAGGAGGGCGCAAGAAATATTGGGCAGGAGGGGAAGGAGAAAGAAGAGGAGGAGGAGGAGGAAGGAGAACATGTGAAAGACGTGAAGGAGGAGGAGAGAGATATGTTGGAGGAGAAGGAGAAGGAGGAGAAAAATATTGTAGAGGAGGACGACGAGGAGGAGAGAGATCTGGCGGAGGGGGTGGAGGACGATGAAGAAGGAGAAGCAAAGGAGGAGGAGGAAGGAGAACAGGTGGACGAGGAGAAGGAGGAGGAGGAGAGAGATATGGTGGAGAAGGAGGAGGAGGAGAGAGATATGGCGGAGGAGGACGATGAGGAAGAGGAGGAAGACGAGGGAGAGGAGGAGGAGGAGGAGGACGAAGGTCATTATGCCGTAATATGGTGCACTGCATTAGGAGGATGAGGAGGGAGAGGAGGAGGAGGACGAGCAAGAAGGAGAAGAGGAGGAGGAGAGAGATCTGGCGAAGGAGTAGGACGAGGAAGAAGAAGAAGCAGAGGAGGAGGAGGAAGGAGAACAAGTGGAAGAGGAGAAAGAGGAGGAGAGAGATATGGCAGATGAGGAGGAGGAAGAAGAAGGACAAGCAATGGAGATGAACGAGGAGGAGAACGAGCCGGATCAGATGAAGTGGACAAAACAGAAGCATTGTAGAAGAAGAAGAAGAAATATAGCCCGAGGGCGAGGAGGAGGAGGAGGAGGAGGAGGAGGAGGAGGAGGGCGCAAGAGATATGGTGGTGGAGGGGAAGGATGAAGAAGAGAAGGAGGAGGAGGACGAGGAAAAAGAGGAGGCTAAGGAGGAGGAGGTAGGAAAACAGGTGGAAGAGGAGAAGGAGGAGGAGGAGAGAGATATAGCGGCGGAGGAGGAGGAAGAGGAGAGAGATATTGTAGAGAACGAGGAAGAGAAGGAGGGAGAGGAGGGAGAGGAGGAGAGAGATATGGCGGAGGAGGAGGAAGAGGAGAGATATGGTGGAGAACGAGGAAGAGAAGGAGGGAGAGGAGGGAGAGGAGGAGGAGAAAGAAGAAGGAGAAGAGGAGGAGGAGGACGAAAGTCATTATGGCGCGCTGCATTAGGAGGATGAGGAGGAGGGAGAGGAGGAGGAGGAGGAGGAGGAGGAGGAGGAGGAGGACGGGGAAGAAGGAGAAAAGGAGGAGGAGGAGGACGAAGGTCATTATGGTAGAGAAGAAGAAGAAGAAGAAGAAGAAGAAGAAGAAGAAGAAGAAGAAGAAAAAAAAAAAAAAAAAAAAAAAAAAGGAGAAAAAGGAAAAGAAAAGGAAGAAGAAGAAAATAAATTGATTAGGGGTGGCAGGAGAAGCACCATGGCCCCTTCCCCCCACCCCCTTCTTTTTTCCACTATGCTCTTCCACAAACTCCGATCTGTCACTCCCCACATGACACACACAGACTATATTACTGACCACCCGCCTCCCACCTATACCTCTCAGACGAAGTGAAGGTCCTCAATCGTTACAACTAGTACAACAATCTTACTACTCTACCTCTCCCCCCGTCTCTTCCTCTACTAAGGAACAACCTGCGCTCACCCTAGAGTCGGCCTTCTGCCACTAGCACACGAACACGTCAGGAGGCACACATCGTAACCTGTGGACTGTGCCTGGGACTGAGGCCGACTCACCTAGTGACGAGTAACAACTGCTGCACACTCGGCGATGGCGAGTACATCCAACAACCAGTTCACCGATGCCGAGATCAATGCCCATGCGGTAAGCCCAACTATATCCCACCTCCTTCTTTTCCATCATACGTACTTAATCCAGTCTTCCACCATAAGTCAACTAGTTGAAACTTGAAACTTTCCCATCGCCCTGCGTACTGCTACCTCCCCTCCCTGCAACTACTCTTAGCCATCACTACCACCTCCTATATCCACCCTGATCTCAATACATCCATAATCCTCCGTCCTCCCAGAAATGTTGCTTGGGCCGCCCCTACTCCTCTCGCGATTGGGCCACTTGATGTAGAAGGACCCTCATTACTGCAGTTCTCCGCCATCTCATTCCCTTTGATGAGCCGTTTGGCGCAAACGGCGAAAAGCGCTTCAGGGATGCACCACCCTCCTTCCTCGGTTAGGAGATTGGTCCTACCGAAGAAGGTTTTTTCTTTTTCTCTTTCTCCCCTTTTTCCTTTCCCCCCCTCTACCTCCCTTGTCTCCCCCCTCCTCTCTCCCCCCTCCTCTAAAACCTCTCTTTCCTCCTTGAGTGCTACTAATCGTGTTGTGAGCAATGGGATTAAGGAAGGAGGCGAGCTATGGCATCAGGTGTCCGAAGGAGACCCATGCGACATTTTGGATGGATGCAGTACTGGTATGTGTTTGAGTGATAGCTATACTGTTCGTGGCCAGGCCAGGTTTTTTAATTGCTATGCAATTTTGTTTACAAAACACACACACACACACACACACACACACACACACACACACACACACACACACACACACACATACACACACACACACACACATACACACACACACTCAAGCACAAACAAACACGTGCGTGCACACACACACACACACACAAACACACACGTGCATGCACACACATACACACACACATACACACACGCGCTTCATTTGTTTTTTTTTTTTTAATCAATCAATTAATCAATCAATCAATCAATCAATCAATCAATCAATCAATCAATCAATCAATTAATCAATCAAACAACACAGAAGAAGAAGAAGAAGAAGAAGAAGGGGAAAAAAAAAAAAAAACAATTACCTTGCCAAAATTTTTAGGGGGACTCCGACTCCATATCAGTCAAAAATATATATACATATGTATTTTTCGCTTTTTTATTTTATTTTTTCTGTTTTTTTCTTTTTAACCGATTTTCGTTTCTCATTTTTTATAAATCCTAAATGAAGTTTAATTAAAAACAAAAAGAATACGGTTGTAGGGTTTTCAAAGCCCTATAACCCTATATATCTATCTATCTATCTATCTATCTATCTATCTATCTATCTATCTATATATATATATATATATATATATATATATATATATATATATATATATATATATATATATATATATATATATTTGTTGTCCTTTTCTCCCTCTCTGCCTACGGTTTACCGGGCAGTTCGGTTTCACGATATATATATATATATATCACTTATTTTTCGACCCCCCAAAAAATATCCAAAATATTGGGCCGTAAACTAGGCCTGGCCACTGTGGCGGCGACCGACTTTTTCGGCCGTGGTGGCCAAATTGCCCGCGGCGGAGGCCGAGGGTGTCACATAGACGCTACTCTGTCTGGATCGGTGATGATCGGACCGCCCATCACCTTGGGCTCCGCATCGTCGGGTTGTTCTACACATATGAGTGGCGCGTTCTGTCTGATGCGCTGTTTGAGATCTCGCAACGCACAATCAGGCGATGCTCGGTACATACTCGTTTCGTGCTCCATAGTCGGATGCATCCCCGTCGTGTCCGATTCCATATACTATATCTTCTCTTTGAGCTCCAAGTTTGTCCAGAGAGCTAGCAGTCCCTAATGCTTGAACCGACAACCCGGACTTAATGTCGGAACTGGCAGCCCGGACCTAATGTCTGAACTGGCATCCTGGACCTAATGTCAGACCTGACAGCCCAGACCTAATGTTAGAACTGGTAGCCCGAACCAATTTTCGGTCCTGGTTATCTTAATCTCTGAGTATTCCTAGAGTGAATCAACCTTCTATCATTTATTATTATTCCGCCTTCGAGTCGAGTTCTCGACGACCCTCATAATAACTCTTAGTCTTCCGCTCTCGTCTGGGATCTCGTGCTCGCCCTCTATTTTAAAGAGTCCAGTATCAAGGTAGAGCTCTCCTTCTTGCTATTCTATACAGGTAGCGCCTCTCCTTATCTCTACTACTCCTGTCTCAGGGCACCTTACCCTCCCACAGATCGAACTCCCCAAGGCACGTAAGTCCTCATGAGTCCAAATCCTCAAGAGCAAACGTAGGTCAATGATGCTTTTCTGCTTATCTCACCCAACCCTTCTCGAATCACGTTACTCCGAGCTAGGGGAAACTTACCTCCTCTTGCCATCAAAGCTACGATGTCGCAAAACAAACTCAACTATGGCATTCCAGTTCTCCTTTCCCATCCCCTGACAAGGCGTCGAAGATTGTTATTCATGTATCCTAGACAATGCTCTTTCCTAGCGATAGCAATCTATCATTCTTTTCCTCCACCACTTCCTCTTCTCTATATCAACATCGACCATAAACAAGGTCAATCCTCCTCTTTACCAACAAGTAAATCCATACGTCATACACGTCAATATCAATAAACCTGGCAATCATCACATTGAGATGGATTTCCTCTCACCTACTGTCCACCAATTCGTACGTCTCTACCTCTTACGAAACTATCTCTCCTCTCCTTAAGGAACTCAGGGAGGCACAGACTGCTTTTAACTTTGCTTATGACAGCCTATTCCCTGCAAGGAACCTTTCCTTTCAGGACTCTTATTCCTCATCAGAGATCACTCTCTCTCCGCACATCCTCTATTATTCCCTACATCTCGAACTGTTCCTACTAATTTTGTCAACGATCTCTTACAATTATCACTCCCAGCTATGACCGTCCAGGCAAAGTCTACGGTCACCTCCCATTCATTTCGCTCTCAAGTCCGCTACCTGGGATCGGCGGCCTAGGAAGATCGTCAAAAACCGAGATGTCATCGCTTGCCTCCACACACTCACCCGGCCTCTCTAATCTATTTTTTTCTTGCCTAAGCTTCAAGGAGGTTATCCTCTAACACCTCGAGTACGTGCAAAACTCCTCTCTCTCTTAGCAGGTATATCCCGACGTGATGTATGCCAGGTCAAGAAAGTACATGATCATAATATAAAAGTGGTTTCTCTCTCATCCGTTGTTCACGACTTGGTATCTGACTACTTTGTACATGAAGGCCTCTTTTCCTGCTAATCTCACTTAGACCTTCCACAAGTTTCTGGCTCACGTGTTCACGCGGTCCGCTCAATCTTCTTAACTTCGATTTCTTCGCGCTAATTCTTCTTCTGATATCTTCCAACTCATCGCTTCTCATCGCCGAACCTTCTTTTTTAGTCTCACCTAACATTCTCTCGCCGTTAATTCGAGGGCAACTAACATCCTTATAGTCGACACGTTGAAAATGAGGAAAAAAACTTCAAAGTCGTCGTCATCGCTAAAATCATCTATGTCCTCTAAGGTCTTTATGATCTCTCTGCGGTACCGAGTGTGCGCCTCAAATGTCCTAAGGATTGCCCCGTCCACAATAACTCTGGGTTGCTCTTCCGCTTTCTTAGCTTAGCTCTTTAGAAGCCTCTCTGTCTTACTCGGGGTTTCATGCCATGATCGAACCGAGGACCCTCTGTCCAATAACGTCGTGCATAATACGAACCTGATTAGGCGGTCGTTTTCAACTCCTACCCAGAGAGCAGTGTCTCGCACCTCTCTCAGCGCTTTCCGAGTACACTCCGCCTCCTCGATCACTCTCAGTCTTGCCACGTGTTGTACTTGTATCACCACGTAGACCACTGATCCTTCTATCTCTCATACCACATGTACATAATACTTGTCGTTGCTATACTGACACGCACTCATCGTCTTTTATCATCGTTCTATCGTCCTATCAGTGTTTTTGTTTTCCTTTTGCTCTGTCGCTCTGGATGGTTCATTCGGTCGCTATGTGACTCCTAACGATTGTCCTAACTTTGTCTGTTGATGATCTCTCGCTTTCACGCCCTGAAAAAACTCAATCCTCCACCTCTTGATAAATTATTTATCTTCCCTTAAGACACTCTCCAACCCTTTCGTCGCTTCTTCTATTCTAAGTAGTTTACTCCTGCTCTCGCAGACCCCGTACGCTCGTATACTCTTGCCCAGTTCCTTAACTCACTTTAACACTGGCTCTATAATCTGCTCTCTTACTCTCTTCACCCGCTCATCTTCTATACTTGGTTTCTCATCTTCCTCTGTCTCCGAAAATCTCCTTACATTCTAGCGTGCGCTTCCGTTAGCGTCTCGTCCGGAACGATTTTGACTCGTATAATTCCTTTCACACAGACAGTCACCTCATAGATCATTCATTTCTCGTTTGTATTTTGTTTTAATGCTCCTTACCTTTGCTCCCATATCACATCTTTAGCGAGCTCCCCACACTCACTGTCCGTAAGATCCTCATAGAAGCTCACCCTCAAAGGAAATTTCAATGTCACCTCATCCCGCGCTAAACGTCTCGAAACTGTGCGCGTGTAATCCTGTATTACATCCTTAGCGAGCTCCCCACACTCACTGTCCGTTAGATCCTCATCCAAGCTCACTCTCAAAAAGACCTGCAATGTCACCTCATCTTGCGCTAAACGTCTCGAAAATGTGCGTGCGTACGACAATCGACGCAAGAAAAACTCACAGATTTTGTGATAAGCAACATGAATTTGATTATTGCATCTTTCCATGTCGAGCACAACCAACATTGGACACTAGCAGTGGCAGACCTGAGGCATATGATATTTGAGTAGTACGATTCGCTGACGGCAGCCGTGGAACTCGCAAAGAACGTGACAGGGGGGTTGGCAAAATTTTTGTACATGGGATCGATCGAACTAGGTTGAAACCTAAAAACTTCAACCATCGATGGGTAGTGGAAGCCATTCCAAAGCAGCGCGACTTCAACGAATGCGATGTGTTTATGCTCACATATGCATCACTATTGGCGATAGGGTTTCTGCCACTATTCACCTTGACATGAGATGGCACTAAGAGACTACGATGTTGGATAGCTTTCGATGTAACTGTTGTGGAGTAGACACATGAGTCGGTTACAATAGTCGTCCAAGCATATGAGAGGACCATGCAGTGAGCACAAGCAAAAGTGAAAATGAGAGAAGATGAGCTCGCAAGAGTATTCATGATTAATGATGCGGTCGACAAAAAAGGTAATTGGTCGTGCAAAGCAGACGTCTTATGAAAAAAATGATTAATGTAGGAATGATTTATAGAGGCAAGAAATGAGTATGTGACAAACACTTACACCTTATTCCCAACCCCCTTTCCCCCTTTCCCCCAATTCATTACCCCTTACCCCTTACTCCTTACCCCATACCTCATACCCCTTACCCCCTACCCCTTACCCCTTACCCCTTACCCCATACTCCTTACCCCTTGACCCCTGACCCCTTACCCCCCTTGTGATATCATAAATAATTCGCAAATGAAGACAATTCAGGCAAAAAAATCGACTTTCATTTTCATTCAAAAAAATAAAAGATGCCTGTTTTGACGAAATCGTAGTTCAATGGACCCTGACCCCGTGGGGCACTCTTGGTACCAACTGCCAACCTGCTGAGATAGTTGGCCTGCTTCCCCGGTTGGGTATTGGTAGGGTCGTTGCCCATTACGGGTGTGCGTGTCTGTGTGTGAGTTATCTATGGTGTGTGGGAGAGTGTTGGCCATCGACACTTTTGTTACTTGGTGGGGGAGTGGGAAGTAAATAGGAGGCACAACTACTTGCAAAATGCTCGGTCTTTGCCTTTGCCGGCCTACTCCATGTCCACCGCGTATTAGTGAGGGGGGTCATGTATAGGCCTAGGAGTAGTGGTAAAACTGCCATTTCGTCAAAATGGACATTTTTTATTTTTCGAACGAAATTGAAACTGAGTTTTTTGGCAAGCTAAGTCCACATACATCCAGGGGGTCCCGTTTTCGGCCAAAAAACTCGGTTTCAATTTTGTTTAAACAATAAAAAATGTCCTTTTTTTTTTTTTTTTTTTGTTGAAAAGGCTAATTCTCTGAAGCCCAACCAATTCAATTACCTGTCAAATATGGACAGGACAGCCTTTCAGGCCTTTTTTACTGTCATTTTATTGTCATTATAGTATTACGGGGAACCCCGTAGCGGCCACATCCGTGCTCAAGCCTCCAACGTGGGAACATGCGGGAGCTGCACCCACCAGCAGGTGCGATACCTGCTACAGCAGGTGGGCGATACCGGCCAGGGGTCAGCCGGTAGCATCAGGACCGAGCTTCTTCGATGGGCCAGTCACACCCACCAGCAGGTGCGATACCTGCTACAGCAGGTGGGCGATACCGGCCAGGGGTCAGCCGGTAGCATCAGGACCGAGCTTCTTCGATGGGCTAGTCACTGTGCCTCCCCTCCGGTCCCCTCCCCCAATGAACATCAGCAGTCTCTGCTCAATGCCACTCGGGGGGACCAACGGCATATCTCTAGGTGGCGGTCGCCAAGCTTGCCCAGGAAGGTGCATGAGGCCAATGGGGATTGAACCCAAGACCTCCCGAAAAGGCAGTTATGAGTAGGTAGTGAAAGGTGAAATTCAGAGAAGAAAAAAAAGGGAAAAGTAAATAAAAAGAGGATGCTTGTACTCACCCTCTATGGGCCTCGTTCGACACCACAAGAGAACCCTAAAATCTCAAGTGCACCCTCATTGCAAAATAGTGATTAATTAGGACTACAGTTTTTCTGGGTTCCATCTGCGCTAGACAAAACACTTGAAAGTGCCGCAATTGTAACGGAAGAGGCGTCTGCAACCCCTTGCCCTTCAACCCCTGGCGCTTCGTTTCAGGAGTGCACAAGATCCTCTGATCTGGGCAGCCCCAAGGGTCCGACACTTGAACTCAAGGTATCTCCAAGAGCACCTTGAGCTTAAGTGCGATTTTGCCCCGGCCGCACTTGAGTTTCAAGGGCATGCACTATAGAGCCTGGATGTGAAAACGCACTAGAGAGCCTGGATGTGAAAACAAACCGGTGCCCTCATTAGGAAGGGGTGCAACGAATATTTTCGCTCCAACACTTGAGTTCAAGTGGTGTCGAACGAGGCCCGATAGACTCAGCTCTGAACGTTATTGTGGTAGTGTGCATCCACATCCGGCCGTAATTACAATCAGATACATTTCGAAAAGTGCTACTGTGAGTAGGCTCCAGAAGGGAAACACCCAGCGTGTGTGGCTCTATGGCTAGGAATCAGACACGGCGCGACAGAGGAGGCACAGAGAGAGCAACCAACAGCGCACTGGAGCACTTCGCGCATGGACAGAGAGGATTCGCGGGAGAAACCGCCGGAGAGACGAGATCGAGCTCAGAGCACAACATCTTACCGCCAGCGTCAGCGCAACCATCCGCTAACAGGAAGGAGAACTCACTCGAGCGAGGACGTTGGGCGGTCAGACAGGGGGAGAGGGAGAAATAGCCAGCCGGACACCGACCGCCTGGCAAAAGAGTTTGCGTGTGAGAGAGAGGAAGAGTGTGAGTGAGTGTGTGTGTGTGTGTGTGTGTGTGTGTGTGTGTGTGTGTGTGTGTGTGTGAGAGAGAGAGAGAGAGAGAGAGATTTGGCGGTAAGCGGAAGGGAGCGCGCCCTGAACCCAGGCTGCAGCAGTGGGAACACTGGGAAGAAAGAAAGGAGCACCGGAGACATCGCGAAATAGACTTTTACACACACACACACACACACACACACACACACAGAGAGAGAGAGAGAGAGAGAGAGAGAGAGAGAGAGAGAGAGAGAGAGAGAGAAGTCTGGTTTGCGGGGGCGAGGCCGCGAGGGGGAAGGGAGAGAGAGAGAGAAGAGTGGGGTTGAGAGAGAGAGAGAGAGAGAGAGAGAGAGAGAGAGAGAGAGAGAGAGAGAGATTGGGCGGTGAGCGGAAGGGAGCTTGATCTGAACGTCTACTTCAGAGTGACGGAATGGAGGAGGGATAGGGAAGCATATCCACCACCCGGTAAATGGCACCACAGCGTAAGAACGCGCACTATAAGTCGGGGTTGATCGATTCCGGAAGATGCTTCGATAGACTCTTAAATAATGGGTAAGTTGCAAAAATTGGGCGTTCGGGGTGGGTTAGATTGGCCAGTGAAATTAACTAAGGTATAATCGGACAGTTTCTGATAGACTGTGGAATTCACGAGGCAAGTCGGCCAAGAGAGTTGTTTGTACACTCGACCTACCTTCTTCCCCCGAATACAACGTACGGTCATTATAGCTGTATCTAGACTGGTATACCGCCGACATGGTTTACTCGTTGTCGCCGCAAAGCCGATATAGCATGAGGTTGTTGGGTTGGTTTGAGGAAAAGGGGAATGCTTTCTTGTGCGCGGCTGTATCGTTGGTTGCCTTGGAGTTGGACTCTTTGGGATCAGGCCTGTCCCCCAAATTTTTCCGGTCTGCCCTAGTTCTCGCTGTTGTTATGGCTGCCTCCAGGTTTGTGGTTTACGTCGAGTCTACGTGCTTGGCTGGTATGTCCTGCGCTCGGATTCGATCTCGGGGCCTTCCGGAAATTCAGCCTCCCCTCTCTTTTGATGAACGAATCTTAGAAGGTCGAGTGATAGTGCGACGCGGTGTATTTCGGTTCTGCACGCTTCTGCGAGTTGTTGCGTATATCGTCGAGATTGTTTTCATCTCCCCTTATAGAATCGGTTCGGATTTCGATTACCGCGTTTCTGACGGGAACAGGATGGCGGACGATGTCCAAGAATTCCATGGTGTTGTCTTCCTAACGGTAGCCGCCCACCTCTTTTACACCACACTTCAGTTCATTGTGCCTTACTTAATGGCTTTCCGCGCAGGAGAGCGAGCAATGATTCAGCGAATAGATGCCTCTGGTAACGTTTCGGAATCTCGTCGGAGTGGAGGTCCATTTTGGGAGCGGCTATGGAGGAATCAGAGAGAGATGGAGTTTGCGGTAATTTACGAGCGCCACCTCCGTGAGCACCCCGACTTCACCGCGGAGGACGTAAAGAATAATGTCGACACATGCGGCTTGCGGGCGTACTGGTTTCACGACTATCGCCGACTGCTGCAAATGGTTCTGCTCAACTTACCTTCTTTGTCTGTCAAGTGCTGTGGATGGAGCCCGGAAGATCCGCTTTGGCAGGACCGAGGGAAGCTGACAATGGCATTGGAGGCTCTCCATGAGCTCTCCGGGATCCGGAATACTGACGTCGGGCCTGAGATGGCAGACGTCCTTCAGGATATACCCCAGGCAAGCCGCTTCTCCCTCGATGTGGACGTCGGGCGAGACCTCCTCACATCAAGCGCGGATCAGGTTCTGCGAGGGGTGCTTCGGTCTGCAACGAACGCCGTAGGTGTTAAAGAGGTCCGTCTCGCTGCGTCCATCGTCGATCGGCTGGCTTTGGGCCGTGCGGTGCTCCCTTGGCAGCCCTGGCGAGACCAGCAAGATGCGGATCAGGACAGGTATAACCTTTATGCTTATAATCATGTCTTCGCGGGGTTGCTGTTAGAGGACCTGGTGGATCTAGTGGATGGGTGTGAAGGCAACCACGGGACTAGCGCCAACACAGTGGCTGCCGCAGAGGATGGAAAGCAAGAGGTGGAAGGGAAGCTTCGTCTCCAAGAGACGGCTCTGTCTGCCATCTGTTCCTTTGCACATGCTGCCAGCGAGCTGCATGCACACAGAGGCTGGCTTAGGAAGGAGCCTGATGTACCCAGCTGCAGATTTTGTAATGCTTTCACCTCGCTTGGGCCTGGGGATTGGCCTTTGGAGACGCCCGTACCTGACTTCACCAATCCGGAGATAAGAAGGTTCATTGATACCATAGTGGAGGCGTTGAACCGGCCCCCCCTTGCCGGGAGGCTCCTCCTCAACTTCTTGAAAGTAGGGAAGCGGAAGCCATCCTTCCAGAAGCTGCTGGCGGACTCCATTCGGATCTTAGCCTACCTGTTGTGCCCGAGGATGGTCTACTGGCATAGCTTCGAAATGAGGCTGAAGGAGTTTCCGGACCCGCTGTGCTCCATGGATAAGCTACCAGATTCATCCAAGGTAGAGGCTGCTCTGCGGGGGTTGGTGCGCGACTGCTGCGAAAAGAAACACAAGGCATGTCTCTCCGCTTTCTCCACGCTCCACCTAGCCAAGATCTTCATCTGTCAGAATGTTCGAGACATGGATTGCAATGTTGCAGGTGTCCTGCTCCGATGTCTCAGGTATTGCCGTCGAGTGAGTGGCAGCAGAGAGATTGAGTGGTTTGCCTGCGAGGTTTTGGACACCCTGCGCGACCTCATCGCCACTTCTTCGCCCTCAGATAAGAGGGTCATATGTAACGCAATCGCCAGCCCATATAAAGAGTGGGGATGGCACTTTCTCCTGAAGATCGAAGATACCAAGTTGGAGAATCATCGATCAAGGGGCCTTCCCAACCCTGATATCACTCCTGTCATCCAGGATACGAATCCGAGTTCTGATAACAACACAGGGACTTGGTTTCCTTTCCAGCAGAGATGTGACGCATCCGCCGTTGGACTCGCTGCAGATGTACTCGAGGAGTTGACGAACGACCAGTATTTGGCAAGCAGAATAATGGCTATCGTTTTTGAGGCACGTTCCAGGGTGCCTGGCTGGAATTGCAAAGAACGTCAGGACTCAGTCGGGACAAGTATGGAAACCGTTGAACAGGCTAACTCCCAGACGGACGGCGAAAGGTCCGTCACGGTGAGGGAGAGACCCTTGCCTGGGGACACGCCCAACGCAGATGACCGGAATCCAGTCAGCACATCCATCCAGAGAGCGGAAGAGGCAAGTGTCAAGATGGCAAGCGGAAGCTCTGTGAGAGAAACACCCTCCTCGACTGAACACTCGCTCCAAGAAGATAGCCGGATTTCTGCGAGCAGGGCTACGGACATAGCTGCAGAGGCAAGTTCGGAGATGAAAAGCAGAAGCTCCGGGAGCAGGGCACCCTTGCCTGAGCAATTGTTCGATGAAGATCACTGCAGTTCGGAGAGGAATTCAGCGATCAAAACTACAGAAATAGAGGAACTGGCAAGCTCAGAGATGGAAGGAGGAAGCTCCGTAAGTGACGCGCCCTTGACCGAAGAGTATCGACGGGATTTGTTAGTCACAGCTAGGGAAATAATCGAACAGGCACGTTCCAAGATGGGAGGGGATAGCCTCGCGAGCGACACGCCCTTGCCGGAAGGCTTGCCCGAAGAGTACCGCCCTGCATGGAACGATGCCTATACTCGAGACCAAGCATGGCGCACGAACTTTGTAGATTGCCTGAGGCCCGATGCGCTACAGGTGTGCCACGTTCTACTCTGCCGTGTGCGAGTCGAAAGAGTGAGGCCGCAGGACTCGTTCTTGAAGAGATATTGGGCGACTTTTTCCCTACGGGTAATAGAGCCAGCCGGGAATCCTGCTTGGAGACTGGCTTGTACAGTCAAGGAGAGAATTTACGACAACTGTTACAGTGCCGACACGGACGGCTAGAGGGGTTAGAGGACGCTGTCCACACTCTTCTCGCACTTCGAAATGTCACTCGCCTCCTCCGGCTGTGTGTTTGTTACAGCTATGCTGAAGAGAAGATCTTAGGCGAGGAAAAAGCTTTGATTAACATCCTTGGACGACTCCTACTGGTTCTTCGATACCGCCCAGGCATATTTAAGCTCCCAACTCAGCTGGGATTAGACACACTGTCTGACCGTTGCATGTCCGACATCAGGTCGAATAGCGCCGCTGTGATTGAAAAATTGCTCTCCCTACTGGTTCAGAATCGTGAAGCCTGGGCGCAGCAATTCCTTGAAAGTTGCTGGGAACACCTCCGGGAGTGGAAACAGAAGAGCCAGGAGGAAGGTGGCCCAGAATCGTGTCCAGATTCCGAAGGGTTAGTCCAAGTCATCAACCAGCACTCAGGCCTCTTCCAGGGTCCGGTACAAGAGGACTACGCAGTACTCATACAGTGTCACAAAGACTTTGAGGTCAGCCCCGAACAAGCAAATTCTGCAATGGATCCCAAGATAAGACTCACGATGAGGACGCCTAATCAACCCCGCACTGTGTATTGTTACAGGAAGTTTGGATAACCACGGGATGACGAGATTGGAGGTGGGACAGAGGCCAGGAGGGGAGGGAAAGGGAATCCGGCGTAGGTGGACTGTATCTGTAGAGATGTCTGTACGCTCTGAAGGCAGCGGCGCACGTACAGCGAAATTTTAAAGTCCCGTAGGAATTGTTGTGACACAAGAAAAGGAAGGGAGACGTGGAGGTAAGGGAGGTGAACCGGTTTCCGGCAGCTCCCCTAGGTATAAAGGGGAGAGCTTCAGTCCAGATTTGAGAGCCCTCCCTAGACAGGTTGTGGGAGTGTCAACAGGGGGTTCCCAGAAATCTATCTATTCAACCCCTTTCGGTCTCTAGAAAAGAGTGTCAGAAGCATCTTTCTTGAATACTTTCTTGGGCTTCTTTGTTATTTTCCTGTCTCTCCTTCACCAACGTCTGTCGTCCTGTCTTCTGCTCCCCATACTGACATCTATGTATAGTTAAATAGGGCTTCGGATCTTCTCGCCAGTAATTTGACTTGTGCCACCATCCGACAGGAGCGAGGCACCACATGGGAAGGACAGGTGCAAAGGGGAGGAAAAGGGCAGTTAGGAGACACCAAGCAACACTATAAGAACTGGGGGTGTGTTTTCCGACACCTATCTTTTTGCCCCGAAGTTTTGGGGGCTGGTCCTTCGGTGTTTCGCTTTTGTTTTTTGTGCCTCCTCGGACGGTTAAGATATTGGCAGGACGGGTTTGGGCGCCTCTATTGGAATGGCATGGGATGACAATGTACTTTCTGATTGTTGTTTGGGCAGCAAGAACTAGGATCTTCCAGGGTCACTCTGGTTATGGCAGCTGGGGAGTGAACCAAGTTTGTACTAGGTCATTGGTTTTTATGTCTCTCAGGTGTGTGTCATTCTGACCGGGCTGTGAATGCGCCGCGAAATGTGGTTGTCGGCCTGGCGCAGGGATCAGGCCCCCTAAAGGTTAGGTGTCACACACCCATGGCCAAACACTGGGAAACATACTGCTAGTGTAAAGCAAAAGTGCTGGGATTGACTGATTTTGGATAATCTGTGGCCACATGGGCCATGGTCCAGACTCGCTGAGGAGCATACCCGTGGTACAGCAACCCATTCTTTGGCCTTGTAGCTTGTTTTGGAGAAGGGTTGCAAGATTAAGCTATCAGTACTTGGCCCAAAAGAATGGTCTTAGAGTGGGAAAATTTCTAGTCAGATAAGGTTGGGCGCTCCTGTAGTGGCCCGTAGGTTTCCTTTGCTAAGATAGTGGCTTGTTTACGGGCACGACTTTAGCAAGTAGTTGGTCCTTGGGATGGGGGCAGTCCAATTAAGCTGTGGGATGGCATCAAAATTTTCAGTTACGGGTGTGCGTGATAGTTCGCATGATTTCTCAGTGACACAAACAAGCCAGCTTCCCCACTCTCAGTTCTCGTGCCTACTCCCCCGACCCTTGCAACCTTCCATTAGCCCTGTTTGTCTCAACTCGCAATTGATTGCTGGTTCACACCGTATTCCGGAGGATATCTCACGCATCCGGGACAATCATCCTGTTTTCACGATTTTTCTAATCCTCTCACCATCCACTATTTCAAATTTATTTGCGTTTTCTGTTTCCCTATCTATCTCCGGCCTTTCTGGACAAAATCCTTTGTTTCTCCTCAATATGCGCTTGTCATCCACCCCGCTCCTCATTATGAAAATGACTGCTCTCCCCTGGACTCTTATGAGTCCCTTTGATCTTGGATGTAACCCTCCACAGAGTCACAGACTGCAGGTTATGCCACAACACGAGACTGTCCGGTAACAATGTGTGTTGGTCAGTTGTGCACATGGGACTGGTAGGTTGAGCTCCAGGGACACAGCAGACTGGACGGTGAACTTGGTGGTACCGTGCGGTGATGGCAATGAGATTGATATACCTCTCTTCTTGTTGATTTCTTTATGTCCTGTCTACGCGCAGTAGAAGAGTCCCTAAAGCTCTATTGTGTCCATGACCACCCCTTCTGCCTCTCTCTCTCTCTCTCTCTCTCTCTCTCTCTCTCTCTCTCTCTCTCTCTCTCTCTCTCTCTCTCTCTCTCTCTCT